CTCTGGCGTAGTTGGCAAAACCGGATTGCGCGGTGACCGGGTGACGAATCCTTGTGGTCCGGGTTCACTCCCGAGGGTAGGCAAAAAAGCCACATTTTCTCCCAGATTTACGGTATTTACAATGGAATCAAGGCCGAAAGGTTGCGATATCCATAGTACCGAGCCTAAAGGTTGACAAAAGAAAAAGAAAGAAAAACAAGAAAAATAAAGAAGAAGAAAAAAAAAAGAAGAAGAGAAGAAAAAGAAGAAAATAACTCATGGCTTCTGGATACTAAAACAAACAACTCAATTGATAAAGTTTAGGGAAATGTGATTTTTTTCCCCTTCTTATTTTTCTTCTCACCCTGTTTGGGTCATGTAAGTGAGTGCTTGTGATTACATCTGTTGACTGGTTTCTGTTGATTTGTTGTTTCTGACCATTATTGTGTTTCCAGCTTGGGGGCGTGGGAATCATTGAGGGATATCATATGAGAGCCCAAAATACCAAATAAGATCCGCCCTCTAAAAAAAAAATGACTAGTTTGTTAACCCCCCCCCCCCCTTTTTTGGGGGGGGGGGGGTCCCCTGCAGGCAACAACCTTCACAGATGAAAATGTTATTCTCCCCCCCCCCCCCCCCCCCCCCCCACCCCAAGTGATACCTAAACGGCTGACGTCTCACTGTTGTCCACTTGTCTCCGAGACAAACCAATAGTACCCAGCATGTCGAGTTCTTCATTTCACACGGCCGGGACCCGTCGACAATGCCCGAAGTGGACAAGTGACACTCGTGAAGTACAGGGCCCGACTGTTGTTTGTTGTGGGGCTATCGGCAATTTGTTTCAGAGAACGCGTGTTATTGCGGTCACACGCCTTCGTCAGCAGGCAAAATCCGACAACAGCAAAAACAGAAATGACTTTGTGACACCGGTATAACGATATCAGCGAATTATAGTCGTTGCATAGAAAACTACTACAATAAAAGTATAAGATACAACGAGGAATAGGACCGATCGATCAGTCTGTGCTTTCCGAGCTGCTACCAAAAAAAAGGTTACCACACCATCCATAGATTTTAAAATCTCAGTCTAAATGGCAAACCAACATAGAACATCCTGAACACTGCCTTCAACCTCTAGAGAAATCAGAATTAAGGCAGTTGAAACGGATGCAGCAGCCAGGGGTAACATGCAATCGTATGCGGGTAATGACTAAAGAATGGGACGAAGTGTGAGATTTTTATGTATAACAGTTATTCGCATATGCATTGCAGTGCATCGCAAACTAACCACATCATTTACTGTGATAATAACATGGGTACTGCATTCAAGTTAGTATTAATAAAAAAGTCACCATATATGATAAATGTGTGTTTATCCGAAATTTCGTGTTGGTATATTTTCTAGTCGTGGACTATCTCCCAGTCCTTAAGAACGAGAATAGGGGCCTTTCAGCTGAAATCCTATAGAAAGATTCTCAGAATATCTTGGACAAAGAAGAGGAGAAATGCCGACATCTTGGAAAATTAGAATATCAAGGAAGATTGGCTAACAAACAGCATCCTGTATCGGAAGCTGAAATATTTTGGTCACATCAAGCGCCACGACAGATTCTACAAAATAATAGCACCAGGCATAGTACCAGGAAGGAGGGGCAGGGGCCGACCGACACGAAGATGGGCACAGGATATAAGTGACTCTTTGAATATGCAAGTACATGGGCCGGGAGAGCTAGCGAGAGACCGAGTTTCTTTCAGGCAGACCGTGATGAGAGCGACGTTCTGCAAAGGAGTTTCTTCCAGGCAGACCGTGCTGAGAGTGACGTTCTGCAAAGGACCTGCTACATGAGATGATGATGATGTTTCTAGTGAGAATAATTGCATGGGAAACGGAAGGAATATATTCTGAGCAAAATGTACCAAAGCAGATCGATCAGCTATCAGCTGAAGAACGACCTGTCTGCTTCTTCAGCCCCCTGCCGGCAATAACCTTCACAAATGAAAATGTTATCCTTGTGAAAAAGTGATACCTAAACGACTGACTTCTCACTGTTGCCCACATGTTTCTGAGACAAACCAATAGTACCCAGCATGTTGAGTTCTTCTTTTCACACGGCCGGGCCCGCCAACAATGCCGGAAGTGGACAGGTGACACTCGTGAAGTACAGGGCCCAATTGTTGTTTGTTGGGGGGTGTCGTCAATTTGTTTCCAGAAACAGTGTCTCCGCCACTGACAACACCGAGCCTGACATAGAACGGAGGCGGGAGACCACCATCCAACCTGGCTGGCTGCTGTCTGCTGTTGGACTGGGAGAAATAAACAATGGACTGATTCGTATTCTGTTAGACCAGTGATTCCCAAACTATGCTCCGCGGCACCCCTAGAAGCCGCAAACTCTTCACAGGGGTCATCATCATCATGTAGCAGGTCCTTTGCAAAACGTCGCTCTCATCACAGTCTGCCTGAAAGAAACTCGGCCTCTCGTTAGTTCTCCCGCCTCATGCACTTTCACACTCAAGGAGTCACTTATATCCGGTGCCCATCTTTGTGTCGGTCGGCCCCTGCCCCTCCTTCCTGGTCCCATGCCTTCTGCTATAATTATTTTCCAATCCGTCGTGGCGCTTGATCTGACCAAAATATTTCAGCTTTTGAGAAAGGATGCTGTTTATTAGCCATTCTTTCTTGCTGTTCAGATCTTCTAAGATGTCAACATTTCTCATCTTCTTTGTCCCTGATATTCTGAGAATCTTTCAGCTCAAAAGCCCCTATTCTCTTTGTTAAGGACTGAGAGATAGTCCACGACTCACATCCGTTTGTAGCCACAGTGAAGACGCATGCTCTCAAAATTCAAGGGTACGCCGCAAACAATATTCGAAGATAAATGAGTTTTTTTTTTTTTTTAATCTGTTACATATGAATAGTCATTTTTTTTTTACTTACGTTAGGTCGCCGTGGAAAATTTTAATTGAAAAAAAAAGTGCAGCGGCTAAGAAAATTTTGGGAAACACTGTGTTAGGCAGTTGACAAAAGGCGTTCTATTAGAGAAGGGGCGCAACCATTCAAGCCACTGGCCTGTGGGCATTTTTCTTTTATCTAGTAAAGAACCCATGTCGTCAAGCCTTCATGTGTATTGGGCAAATACTGCTAGACTTATATTTTATAGACCAATCGCCACTACGAGGGTGACGAGGTCACCATCACGCCGGTAGCCTTCTCTTCCCAGGACTTTACCTAGTATCCACTAAAGGCAGGGTCCACCTGGGAGTCGAGGCTCTTTTAAAAAAATGTCCGGCACCGTTTCGATTCGAACCCACGACCTTCAGATCCGCAGGCGAGAGTCTAGCCGCTACACCCGGTTTTATAAAGTAAATCTGTTGAATTTCATTTTTATATTATATTATATTATATTATATTATATTATATTATATTATATTATATTATATTATATTATATTATATTATATTATATTATATTATATTATATTATATTATATTATATTATATTATATTATATTATATTATATTATATTATATTATATTATATTATTTTTTGTTAAAGACATTGTGTTGCAATTTTTTTTTACAAGACCTTACAGAATCAGCCGCGGCTTTTTCATCCTAGTTTTTACGTTGAGTAATTTGCTACCTCTTTCGATACCCACAGTTGAAACCAACGCAAGGCGGTCTGCTTCTAAACTGCCGGCAGCTGCGATCGAAATCGTCACCACGGAATTACGAAGCGTGTTTGCAAAGTCGAAACCACAGGTTATGTTATATTATATTATATTATATTTTATTATATTATATTATATTATATTATATTATATTATATTATATTATATTATATTATATTATATTATATTATATTATATTATATTATATTATATTATATTATATTATATTATATTATATTATATTATATTATATTATATTATATTATGTCACGTTTTGTTCTTTTTTCCATATCTCCAAGGCAAACAAACCGTACACATGTAGAGCAGTGCAAAATTTGAAAAGAATACTTTTTAAGTGAATTACTATTGGCGGAAGTCACGTAGTTGTGTACCATGTATAGGGCTACCTTCGTTGTCTTATAACTTTTGACACCAGTTGTTTTCTAGATATTTCTCCCTCTTATTTGTCTTTATTCACTTTTCTGAAGTTAATCCCACAGTGTTCATCGTTTTCTGAGGTATTTGATTTAGAATGCATCTAACTTCAGTCATATTTCCTTGTGGATCATCGCAATATCTACAGAGTTCGTGCTTTGTGTGATACTCTCGGCAAGCGGCTAGAGGTGCAAAAGAGGTGCAATAAAGTCGACCCTCTTTAACTGTAAAAGGAAAGCGAACGGAGAAAGAAATGCACACGAGGGCCAAGCGAGAAGCTAACCGATGCCAGAGATTCTGGCGTTGAAGAGAATCTATATTTGAAATGCTTTATTTGTAATACTATATTTGAAATGGTTTATTTGTAATACTATATTTGAAATGCTATATTTGAAATAATTAACAGTGCGGGGCATGAGCGACATGGCATGAGCTAGCTAGTCAGTTAGTAATTTAGTTAGTTAGTCAGTCAGTCAGTTAGTTGGACAGTAAGTTAGCCAGTTAGTCGGTTAGTCAGTTAGTCAGTAGTTAGTTGGTTAGTTAGCTAGTTAGTTAGTTAGTCTCTTCTCTTCAGCGCTCTAGGGGCTATTACCTTCGGCGGAAAGTTCTAGTTCCTAATCCACTTCTAGACTTATGTCCTGTCCAAGCACTTGAGTTCTACGGGAAAATCCGTTTTACGAAAGTGCCTTATTTGAATGTAGAATGTTGCTTCCTGGCATATCAAGCAGATGCACTTCGATGTAAACACCCCAAATTAGTCGCGTCTTTTACGACATACTTTTGAGTGCGGGGGGGGGGGGGGGGGCAATGGGTCTATCCATCCACCATCCCTCAATTAAAGGGGCACCAGACCCCCCCCCCCCATTCCCCCACCCCAAGCAGTAAACGGCTCGAGAATAAAACAAAATGGCTTACCTGCCAGTTTTGGTGATAATCATCTCCGTTCCCAGATCGTGAAACTTGTCCCACAAATCTTTGGTCTCCAGTCTGCATTTGATCTTGGATCCCTGGTCCTTGCACTCGGACACAACCGACTGAGCCTCGCTGATTCTAGGACTGTCCTTGGTAGAGGATACACTGGCGGCGTCACTGCCAACGTCTATTTCAATATCGAGGTCGCCGTCGGCACTTGGTGACCTTATGCTTGGCGTAGGAGTTAGAGACGTGCTTGGAGTTGAGGATCTGGAATCTGAACCAGACAGAGATGTGCTATAAACTCTTATCATTAAACAAAAAACAAAACAAGCAAAACCAGACAGTGATGTGCTATAAAACTCTTATCATTAAACAAAAAACAAAACAAGCAAAACCAGACAGAGATGTGCTTTAAACTCTTATCATTAAACAAAAAACAAAACAAGCAAAACCAGACAGTGATGTGCTATAAACTCTTATCATTAAACAAAAAACAAAACAAGCAAAACCAGACAGTGATGTGCTATAATCTCTTATCATTAAACAAAAAACAAAACAAGCAAAACCAGACAGTGATGTGCTATAAACTCTTATCATTAAACAACAAAAAAACAAAAAAAAAGAAAAACAGACAGAGATGTGTTATAAACTCTTATAATTAAACAAAAAACAAAAACCAGACAAAGATGTGCTTTAAATTCTTATCATTAAACAAAACACAAAAAAAACACAAAAAAAATCCACAATCTGAACATTAATTAACCTATGTTATTATTAATTCTTTTGGTACAAGAAGGTTTTGTTAGGAGAAAGTGAAGACACTACCATGAAGCAACATAGTGAATGTATTTGTTTCAAAATGGCAATATAATAGTGGTAGTGACTACTTGAGGGTTGTCGTAAGAGGCGACTAAAGGTGAGGTTGAACTTGAGGTTGGCTATCTCATCCTGTAGAAACAGAAGCCACAAAAACCAACCAACCATGGAATGAGGGGGACATGGGTGAGCTGCATGCAAAAGCGAAGGACACAATTACTTGGCAGAAGAACTAAAAGTGACTATTTGGGATGGCCAGGTTTCTTTGGTGTGTTCTAGCCAAAATAATAAATAAATAAGAGAACTCATTATGCTATGGAGGAGAATTAAGGAATAGACTGATGAACATGCCAGGCGTTGAAAATGACTGAAAGAGTTCAATTCTGAATGGCACCGTAGCTAAAATGAAATCTGTTGCAGAACTGCATAGGCTACAGTTAACTGGTTTAGCCGTGACAATTAGTCTAATGAAAACTTCTTTAGAGACACGCTTGTTGGGGAGGCAGTGGTTTTGTTTTCCCCCTTAATGGGGCCCTGGAACCCACAAGGGAAAATAGGTTCATAAATGATATCACATAAGTGTATACCCACGTGTTACGTAAGAAACGTAAAAAAAAGTCGCTTTTGACGAGACGAAGCATGTCACCTCTAAAGGCATTCGATGGGTAGATGGAATATCCGAGGGAATGAATATCAACATCTCTAAAGCACTCATCTAGATTAGCTTTTCAAGACCGGACACTGAAGAGCAGAATAGGGCACTAGAGAACAGAAGATGACGACAATAAAACACATGTCGTGAAAGGGCCACTTGATCACAGTTGGTTGTAACTAGGGCCGTACCGAATATTCGCTTCGTATTCGCTTCGGGGCCGAATAGTGGACCTATTGACTATTCGGTATTCGGCCGAATAGTTGCAGTCGGGTCGAATACGAATAGTACTTACCTTACACCCGCTCTGCATACACGGCCTTAATGCTGACAACATGGAACGATTGGTTTTGTTGAAGCTAATGCTGCTTTCATGCATTAACTAAGCTGTCAGTGACAATTTCCAAGTTTAGTTACTTATTATAATACATAGGATTCTCTCATTCCTAGCTTTTAGTTACCACGGACTGACTGAAGGATGCAAAAAATAAAATGTTTTAAAATGTTTACTATTTTGTACGAATACCAACTAGACACGGAAAGAATTTAAACTCCGGCCACATCCAAGTCGAAAATATGAAAATGAAACTATTCGTATTCTTATTCGGCCGAATAGTTGGTCCCGCTATTCGTATTCGGCCGAATAGTGAAATTCACTATTCGGTACAGCCCTAGTTGTAACCCTATGTACCGTTGGGGTTAGTAAATTGAGAAACTATTAATGATGATGATGATAATAATAATAATAATAATAATAATAATAAGAAGAAGAAGAAGAAGAAGAAGAAGAAGAAGAAGAAGAAGAAGAAGAAGAAGAAGAAGAAGAAGAAGAAGAAGAAGAAGAAGAAGAAGAAGAAGAAGAAGAAGAAGAAGAAGAAGAAGAAGAAGAAGAAGAAGAAGAAGAAGAACAAGAACAAGAAGAACAAGAAGAACAAGAAGAACAAGAAGAACAAGAAGAACAAGAAGAACAAGAACAAGAAGAAGATGAAGAACAAGAAGAAGAAGAAGTGAGTGATGAGGCGGCAGAGGAAGAGTAGAAAAGGGTGGGGGGGGGGGGGGGGCAAGCCTGTATATTTGATTTCATCTTAATGTTGTTTTTAATAGACTGTGGCCCAGCTGCTGCCTGAACTATATTTTATTAATAAAGCAATTTATTTCCTTCCTAAATTTGGGAAATAGTTTTTTAAAATGCATTCAAATATAGGAAACCGTCATAAAATCGTAATAACCTATGCTTTATGTCATGAAATCAAGTCGTAAAGTCACTGCAGGCTACACAGTTTCAGCTCCTGGGTAACATCTGGTTTAAATAAGCAATAAAACAGACAGAATATAGCAGTTACAGCTAGCTTAAAAAATAAAATAAATTGATATATAAATATTTAAAGAAACAACCAGAAAAATTAATGGCAATAATCACTTACAGTGGATACTAAAAAAATGCAAAGGGCGGGGTAAATCGGCAAAGGAAGTGTAGCAATGGAGGCCAAGGCGCAGAGGCAACTTATCATAGACATCAAACGGAAGCATGCAGCATTCTCTGAGCAGATGATGAGGAGAAAAAAATGCTGGAATTAATTGCAGCAGCTGGAACGATTAATGAAAGGGAGAAGGAGAAGGTTGGAGAGAAAATGAACTAGAGTGTTGGTATCATCCGACGAAAGAAGGTAGTCAGCGGGTCAACTGTTAAACAGCTCACAGAGTTAAGGTTGTGGCTAGATGTGCGCTCACATATGTTTGGAATCAACAGAGCACATTTGTTTTCTGGCTGTTGTTTTGATTAAGAAGAACGGGTGGTCGTGAGGTTAGAGTATCTGCCTTCCAGGTCGCAGTAAGTTATCAACACCATCAAACAGTGAAGTCAATGATACATTTCACGTCTTTGGTTCATCGGGAATAAAGCGAAAAGTAAAAGAACCTTTTTCCAGGCCTTCGGGAGGGTTGGGTATATAGTAAATAAAGAACACTATTGCCAGTTCTTGGGCGCATTGGGCAAATAGTAAATAAAGGTCAGCTCTCTGGTATGTGTATGCAGACTGTTGGTTCCTCGTCTCTCAGACACATTCAATCTGAATTCGTTGGAAACTACCCTTATTAGTCTGCGGCTTTTTTACGACACTCTTATGAGGGGATATTTTCTCCCCCTCCCCTCAACTGGGGCCCCGAATCCCACACGAGAAACAAGCATGTCGTAAAATGCGCCTCAGTTTGCTGAAATGAGATTTGTTGAGCCGACAGGCATAAATATGGCAACCCAGTTGTAACCCACAACACAGCATGCCAACGCCCTTTTAAAACGTCTGCAAGCTCTTACTAATTTGTTCCATCTTATTCCAAGACCGAGTGTTATACATCCACAGATGTTCTACATAACAGTTCGGGACTCTGTTTGATATTTAGGATTATAGTTAATGCTTTTATTATTATTATTATCACTGTTATTTTTTTTTTTTTATAATTGTATACTATTCATAGATTTTTTACATCTGCTGGAATGTAGTTTTAGCTGTGATAGTTCTGTGAAGTTACCTGGACTAGAAGTGGCAAGCATATGAAATAATTAATTAACCGGGCTTCTGTCTGTATGTTTTTTTTTTTTTTTTTTTTTCCCCTGTGCTTTATTATTCTACCCCAAACAGGAGAAATCAACAGGTCACAGGACAGCCCAATATTTCATGGGATGGTAGACATGATGCATGCAGTCGTGGGACCTAGGCTGTATACAGTCGTGGGACCTATGTTGTATACAGTCGTCGGACTTAGGTTGTATACAGTCGTGGGACCTAAGTTGCATGCAGTCGTGGGACCTAGGCTTATACAGTCGTGGGACCTAGGTTGCATGCGGTCGTGGGACCTAGGCTGTATACAGTCGTGGGACCTAGGCTGTATACAGTCGTGGGACCTAGGCTTATACAGTCGTGGGACCTAGGCTGCAAGCAGTCATGGGACCTAGGCTGCATGCAGTCATATGACCTAGGCTGAATGGAGTCGTGGGACATAGGCTGCATGCAGTCATGGGACCTAGGTTGCATGCAGTCACAGGACCTAGGCTGTATACAGTCGTGGGACCTAGGCTGTATACAGTCGTGGGACCTAGGCTGCATACAGTCGTGGGACCTAGGCTGCATGCAGTCATGGGACATAGGCTGCATGCAGTCATGGGACCTAGGCTGCATGCAGTCACAGGACCTAGGCTGCATGCAGTCGTGGGACCTAGGCTGCATGCAGTCATGGGACCTGGGCTGTATGCAGTCATGGGACCTAATCTGCAATCTCTCGTGGGATGTAGGTATGTTGGGGTTAGGGCCAGTTTTAGATGCTTTGGGGTTGTTAAAAGCATCAGATAGCCGGGAAACCCAGTTTTATCACCCTCTAAAATGTTGGACTGTCCTGTGACGTCATCTGGGGGTGGGATAATAATAAGGAACCGTTTTACCACTCTGGAAACTCACCATAAAGTTTTACTAGCCCTGAGATATTAGGATTCTCATTCTATCTAGCTTGCAAGGCGAAAGAGCAAATCTAAGAAAGTCTACTCAACCTCTTTAGCTCCCATTAGAACACAATAATTAAAAAATAAAAAATGGTAGTTATCGATGGGGTTCATCGCCAACGGGCAGACCGAGCTCTGGTACTTCGATCTGGCAGCTTCTGCTACGTG